TGGTACTTTGAGTAGGAAACTATAGATTTCTGGTATCCTTTGTGAACTGTAGCTGCTTTGGTTTCCCTGCTTTCTCAACTCAGAGAGCCAACTAGTTTCCTCCTGGATTTCCCCTCCTCTCTTGGCTGCAATCTAGAAACTTCCCTATGGTAGTAAATAAGTGTGGTTGTAAGGTTCACCTCTGTTGTTTCTCATCTGTCAGAGATTACTGTTTTTCACTGCCTAGCGTCCTGTGTCTTAAAAACCATTATTTCATGTATTATGCCTGTTTTTTTTGTTTGTTTCATGCAGGTTAAATCTGGTTCCTGTTATTCTAACATGATCAGGAGTTTAAGTCTAAGGCTTTGTCTATTCCTTCTTTTCTGGCAAAGCTACACTTATATATTTCATCCTCAGATAGGTCCTTCCCTGATAACACTTTGAAAACTAGGTACACCTTTTCTGCCTTATCTCATTTTTCTCTTTCATAGCATTGCTACCTTTTTCAATTATAATAGTATATTTATGAATTTCTTTATGTTTTCTATTTAAATTGAGAAATGAGATTATAATTATTTTACTCATCACTTTATATCTAGTGCCTAGAAAAATATTTGACAAAAAGGATGCTTAATAAATATTCTTTGAATGAACTTTTCCATTTATTGTTTACCATAATTTTTGCTGGTTTTTGTTCCTTGAGGTATTCTGTCTTTTCCTATTCTTTCTTTGTTTCACTTCTCTTCCATTCTTGACTTTCTCCATTCATTTTTTAATATTTATTTCTCTCTCTTTTCTAGGTCTCTCTTATTCTTATCTTCCCTTTGTTTCCCCATTTTTCTGTTTCTGATTAGTGTTTATAGGCTCTGTTATCATTCCCCACACTGAAAAACCATGCAGTGAAAGAGGGAAAATATCTATAGATAGGCTTGTGGCTTCCCAAAGGATCCCCATTGCATAACTAGAAATTGAATGCACAAATTTTTGACAATGCTCTATCTGAAGCCTACTTTTCAAACCTTCTTTGCTTGAAATCCAGAAATCACATCCATTTCTGCTTACCATTGCACTGGAAATTCTAGCCAGTGTAGTCAGGAAAGAAAAAGAAGTTATCAAGATTGGAAGTTAAACTGCTTGAAATAGTATACTATCAGTTTTTAACCAGCGAAATTTCTCTCATTATCACAAGGAGAAAGAGAACTAGGTGATGAGGAAGAGAACTGTATGCTAGCCCTAAGTCTTCCATATACTGGTTATGATTCTGGAAAAGGTACTTAACCTTTCTGTGGCTAGATTTCATCTTGTAATAATAATGTCTATTACTTATAGAAGTGTATTTACAAACAGTAATTCAGAAAAGTTATACAAGTCTCTAAGGGAAGTAGGGATGATGATTTTTACTTTAAAGATGAGAAAAAAGAAATTCAGAGCAGTTAAATTACTTGCTTTTTACTACCAATATAATGAGTAGTTAATAAGTAGAAAAGGCAGAACTTGATATAAACCTTCTGACACTTATCTGCTGCTCTTTCCAAAGCATTTCACTGCTTCCACAAATCATAACATGTAAAATACAAAGGTTTCCTTTGAATTATGTTTTATTATTCTAAGATGTGAAAGATTTGCAGATGGAATGAAGATTTAGTGAAGGGAACTCCTTGGGACCTAATCTGTGTTACAAGGTGACCAGTGAAGGAACCCAGGAAAAGACTGGAATCGAGCTCTTTCTCTGGAAGGAACAGTATAAAGTTCAAATTAGAATGTGATGTCATTTAGTGAGAAAAATAATAAAAATAAAATACAGATTTCAGAGAGCAGCTTGTTCAGTCTCCCTAATTGTGAAAACTAATTTTAAATTGTTCCATTTTGAATACATTATCCCATTGATCATGGGTAAAAACTGAAAAAAAAAGTAGTTTCTGATTATAGTTAATAGAATTGGTTTCTGATGCACTGAAAACTTTAAGAGACACTTAGAGACACTAACTAATATAGTGGAAAGCATATCAAGCACTTCATATATCACATCAGATAGGCCTAAATTTGGTTCCCACTAATTCTTTGTGACTTTGAGAAACTAATTCAATCTCTATCAACCTCAATTTTCTCATCTGTAGAGGAACCCACTAATAAACATCTATCTACCTCAAAGGGTTTTGACTATTAAATAATACAACATTGAGCCAAATTACTGAGTACAGTCCCTGAATAGAATAGAATACTCAATGAAGTGAGTTAATTTTCCTCAAATAGGGACAATAGAGATATGCTTTTCTAAAAACTAGCAAACAATTCATGAATAGTCCATACAATCTCTATTATAACAAAATGAAACTGTAGAAATGTAACCAGGTTATATGATCCAATAGTTAAAACAAAATTTTCATAAAAATTTTAAAAGCAAATTTCAGGATATACCTTCAAGTCATTAAAGAATCAGTCCCTTATCAAAATATATAATGTTAATTATCAAGAGACTTTGAGAGATCTGATTTCAAGTCCTAGGGCTTGTGTGAGCCCCAATGGAGCTGACATGTGGAGACATGGAGGATGGTCTTCTAAGGAACTGATATTACCTCTGTCTTGATACTTTAGATCTTTCTTAGAAGAAACTGTGGTTTCTTTTGCAAAATTCCAGTGAACTCAGTAACTACAGAAGCTATTTCTGCTCTCATTTGTCAGATTTGAAAAGTCCCCTGCCTGTTGATGTGAATGAAAAGCACCTGCTGTCATGTGAGTAAAAAGAGACTGATTCTTTAATGACTTGAAGGCATATTCTGGAATTTGCTTTGAAAAATTTTATGAAAATTTTGTTTTAAGTTTAACTAAGAGATCATATAACCTGGTTACATCCCGCTACCATCATCATTTACTTACTGAGCTCATGCTTGTGCTGGGTGTAGAGGTTATAAAGAATTTTAGGCATGGTCTTCAGGCTCTTGTCACACATTTGGAAAGGTAGAAGATATGCATAAAAATAAGTAAACATAAAAGAAACCTAGGCTAAGTACTAACTAAATGATCTAGATGCTACCATATACAAGCCTGTACATTGTAAGCACTTAAAAAACAAGGGAAATGTCACAACAGGGCTCTAATGGCAGCAGGGAAGGCAACTATATAGGGAGTGAAATTTTAGGAGGGCATTTTCAGAAAGGGGATGATATGAGCAAATTATAACGGTAGTAAGATACATACACTTGGCTTAGGGCAAGTGTTTTTACAAATAGAAAATTCATTTGAAGATGTAGATAGGAATTATATTTGAGTATCCTGAATGACAGGGTTGAAATGTTTGCTTTTTTATTCTGAATGCAATAAAATATTAATGAAAAAGTCAGAGGGAAATGAGCATGTCTCAGCTTCTTGAACCTTTATATTATGGTTGATACTATACAAGTCTGATTAAGGGCCTGCTTTTCCTTCTTATCCTCAGTATCCAATTTATCTTCTTAATATAAAAGTAGTACATGTTTATTATGGAGTATCATAAAATACATTAAAACTAAAAGAAAAAAAATTTTAAATCCACACTATCATGTTCCAGAAACTTTTATAGGTGGATGCATTCACAAACACACAAAATGTAGGGGAATTTCACCTTGAGAAGGCTAAACTGGGATTAAGAAGTCTGAGCATGTGTGTTAAACCAGAGACTATTTACAGTAAAGATTTTGGCTGAAATCCTTTATGTGGCAGGGAATGGGTGTGAAAGAACAGTATAGGGCAGAGGTCAGCAAATCTTTTATGTAAAAAACAAGGTAGGAAATCTTTCAGTTCTCATGGGCTATATGGTTTCTACTGCATCTACTCAGCTCTGCCATTGTAATGTGGAAGCAGCCACAAACAATATGTAAATACATGAGTGTTGCTGTGTTCCAATAAAACTATTCATGGGAACCGAAATTTCATATAATTTTCAGGTGTCTAGAAATATTACCTAATAGGTTTCTGTTTCAGGAGCAACAGAAGCCAACACAGATTCAGTGTTCTACTGAAAGGTACCAGGAGCAGAGGCAATAGGGAGCACCAAAGGAGGGGTGCTCTTTTGAGTAGAAAGATAGAGAATACTTATGAGCAAAAATAACTCCCAGAAAAATATTAAGGATTTCACAGGTTTTTATAAGTGATATGATTCCATTAGTATCTACAAGCTGGTGAAGTTAGGTCGAAAGAAATCCAAGATGAATGTCTCTGTGTGTGTGTGTGTGTGTGTATATATATATATATATGTATATTTTATACAAATATGAGTCCATCTTGTATGCATTAAGCAACCTTTTTTACCACAAGTTAACATATGTAAACATCTTTTCACATCAATAAATATTCACTTGTAACTCCAATCATACCCTCACTTTCCTACTCTTTCTGCACCAGTTTTTAGAATTGTTAACTTTAACATCTTCAGATTTGCATTTGCTACCATGGTAGATATTAATATTATTGACTCTTTTACTTGTGGCCTAATCACCCAACTTCACAATGTTTGGTACCTAAAATCACTATGGTAATGTGTGTTTATATATTCTGTTTTAAAAAACATAAGAAATTAGGAATACTTAGCTACCTCTAAGAAATCTAATTATTTAGAAAAAGTAAATATCGTGACTCCGGTTACATTAACTTTATAATATGGCTAAAGGTACAAAACTACCAAAGTAAGAAAGCATTCAATTATTATTGATAGTGGTATATCAGGTATATTATTTACAAGGACACCATTGCTCTTCCTTCTTAAAACAAATGACAGTGACTCTTGGACTAACAGGATGTGGTCTATGGTTTGAATAAACACTGAAACAATGAATATGAGTAAATGGGTATATGACAACTATTTGAAATATTTGTATAATTTTTATTAAAATGATAAGGTTGCACTTCCATAACAAAACAAAAATTTGCATGCATGCTGAATGTGTTTTAAAAAACACATTACTGAGCACAGATGTGTTTAAACAGGATTTAATTCCAGCATTATAACTTAAAAAAGCTATTTGCCTAACCTTTGTAGAACTTACTCTGATAGGAAGTACGGATCCGTTTCGTTAAATCAGGATAAAAGTTAGACAGGCCACGCATGCAAAAGTTGTCTTTGGAACATGCCAGAACACCAGCATCAGCAGCAGGCAGAGGAAGGAGAGAAAAATAGTCTAAAGTGAAAGGAAGTGATATCATACCAGAATCTAGAACAGCCAAGATGAAGAAATAGCAGCAAGTTTAGGTAATCAAATTAGAGAGGAGATACTAAAAAAAAATCAATTACAAAGTAAGAGGTGATAGATGAATGATGAGAATGCTGTAGTAATTTTATTTAATCAAGTATCTTTTAAAATAGATGGCATATTTATCTAATATGCTTTTTACATAGCAGACTTTTTTGTCTTGTAAATAATACATACAAGTTACCTCATAAATATCAAAATGATTGTCTTTAATCTTCAGTATTTAAAAGAAAGCTTAGGGATTTTAGTCTTTAGTACTTTACTTTTATAACATAAGTATTCATTGTAGTCATTTTATATACTAAATATAAATGGAATTAACAATTTTATCACAGTTTTTCCTGATATAAAGTGATCAAAACTCTAAACTCTATTCATAAGTGTTGAGGCTCAACAAGTTTAAATGAAATTAAATAAAAATTGTATTACATTTGTCAGACTATATAGTTTGTTACCCCACTGTGTATATCTAGCAAGTAACTTAGATGCTGTCATGGGATCCACAAATTTTCTGATTGAATTGATGCTTTCAGCATAAAAACAATCTCTTTTATTCCATAACATCTTGCTATTCTAGAGTCTATGAACTTTCAAAAATCAACCTTTTCTTTACCAATTATGAGGGACTCTTATGGTCCATGCATGTACAATTTCTCTTATTCTGCCTCCCTTTCAAAAGCCAGCAGTGGTAGAGGTATAACCTATAGAATTTGAAATTTTCAGCACTCCTGAAATATTGCTAAAGTTGAGATCCCTAACAAAAAAAATAAACTTGAGGTTCTGAAGGAAAACTCTTGTGCTCCTGAGAAGGATTTAAACTAGCAATTTGGGAAGGTCTGAGATTTACAAAAGAAAGACTAAGAAAGAGGAAAAATTTTAGTATATCAAGTAGTTTTTCATTAGTCCATTCTTTTATGACATTCAGATGTTAAATTTGGCACACCCACTATTTAGAAAATAACACTTGCCGTCTTGTACTTTATATTTTAAAATATTGTTTACATGGGTATATTTAGTAAAGGTTTCAGTATTGATTTTTTTTTAGAAAGTAGAAACTTTCAAATTACTGTCTGAAAAAACACATAATACTACAGATGTATTGCAAAACTTTGGCTTACCTAATTTTTCTTACCAATTTACCTATGTCAGTAGAGAGAAAATACACAAAATTTTGGCAATGTTTACAAAGTCAACTATTTTGATATATATTGAAATTTCACTAAAACTTAGGATAATTTGGCATATCAAATTTTGCCACTGTATAGAAAGTATTTCTGCTTACATCCCAATCCCAATTAACCTATCATATTTATATTTATAGCAAAATAAATCAATTTGTTGCTCCTGTTAAGAAAAATGTCATATTTTGTATAACTTAAAAATGTGAATTAATAATTTTTACTGTCGTTGTAAAAAAAAACCTCTAAAAAAAGTCAGCATCCAACAAGGAAAGGTGACAGCTAAAATATGGAGTTAATTAAAAAACTTAAAAGTAGTGAATGACCTAAAATTATATTTTTAAAGGAGCCAGATATATTAGAATAAAATTATCCTATTTAACACAACCTTTGTAAGGACTTTTGTTTGATTTTCATAGCATTTTTTTTAACAGCTTCTTTTTTTTTTCTTAGGACTTTAAGAAACTTGAGATGCTTCCTAACTTTAATAGCAAATTGAAGTTTAAACACCTCTTTTACCCTTTCAAATAGTCTCACCATGGTTCTGCCAATTTTATTTAAGTGGTATTATAAATATGTTAACTTTATTATATTGCCAAGCATTTGAATAGCATCACAGAAGAAAAACATGAACTAATCAAGTTCATAACCATCTTGTTTTATCTCCTACCTGCAATGAACTGCTTGTTTTTTCGAGGAGACCGTGGTTGTCGTTGGTATAGGTCACTTGATCTATACAGGTCAATGGTCCCCATGCTTAACAGTACTGTCTTCTGTATAAAATCCACCACAGCCAACCCATTGCAGTTCCCAAATGCAACTCTGAGAGAAAAAAAATATGCAACTAGAATGTATTACAGCAATTATTATTTTTATATTTGATTTAAAAACAAGATTACTGGAAAGTAATGCCTTAGAGTTGGAGAGGCTAGGCAGTGATTAGTGTAAAGCGAGGACGGATATTGTGCCTTTACATAGAATAGGTCGACTGAATAATAGCCTGACCAATGCAAAAAACAGGAATAACTTGCAATCCCATTTTAACATCTAAGTAGTGACTATCCAATCTGCCTTTTAACTTGTTCATGTTTTCACAGAAGAACCATATAAAATCTTTTTGCTGTCCAATGGGGAAATAAGTTGAAATATTACACTTTAATAGCTACAGATGCTTAGGCATATGTAATTAGATGCCTTTTTCAAATAAAATTGTAACCATTAGGCTCAAAATTAGTTCTCTTGTTAAACAGAGTATATATTTAACATACAGTTGTACATAAAAATTTATATATCTAAATTTTTGACACGGCAATAAAAACAAATTCAATTTACAAAAATCTAAAAATTTTCACTCCTTTGTTCTTTATTTTGTTCCATTTATTAAAAGACAAAGACCATTTGATTAATTTCTTAATTAAATCTCCTAAGAAATTAAAACAGCTTTCCTAAGCAAGCATTTGGGCACTTTAGCCATTAGGCATACTAACTCTCTTTTTTCTCCTTTTACAACATGCCCTCTAGGCTGAACAATCGTAAATCTGTGCTTTTCGCTTCCCACACTAAATATACACTAGTTGTATGAATGCTGTTTTGCTGATTTTATATGAGTTCCATGTTGTTTTATTATTAGATTAAATCTGGTTGACAAATTATCTTCTTTTCTCAATCTATTTCTTTCCATTCTAGCACACAGCCTTCCTCACAAGTTAAAAGGAAAGTTGTATCATACTAGATGTTTTGCTATTTCACATAAATTTCTACATCTTCTGGTGAGAAAGGCACTGGAAACTTGAAAAAGTATTGTTACAAAAGTCAGAAGATCCTATCTCTATCATTTATAGATTATGTGACTTTGAGAAAAATCAAATGAATTTTTGCTGGGCCATAGTTTCTTTATAATGATAATTATAGTATTAGATTTATCTAGTTCACAGGCCTTTTATAAGCATCAGATCAGAAATTTATTATTAGAGTACTGTGAAAATTTTCTACATAAAAGTAGAATTAATCTTAACAAGTAATAAAATAATAAGTGAACTATTATACATATTACATATTTTAGCAAGTTAGTATCTCTAAACTTTTAATGCTAAAATATAGTTAATTATTTATACTTACAGATATAGAGTTCCCAAATGCAATACTGACAGGAAAAAAATAGGCAACTAATATATATGATACACCAAAATAATTATTTTTATCTATGAATTAAAAATAAAAACTGAAAAGTTATACCTTAGATTAGGGAGGTCAGGAAGTGATTGCTGAAAAGTTAGTAAGGATACTGGATTTCATCTACCTTAAATAACTAGGAAACTGGACAAAATATATTAAACAGTTTTTATATATTGATCAACTGGCAATATAGGGTGAGATTAGAGAAGGATAATAATCAACATAAACTTTAGGTATTCTAGTTAAAAATAAGTGTTTTTGCTTAGTGAATGGGAAGATTTCCCAAGCTAGAGCACAGGAAATAAACTCAGAGATCAGTTGTCTCATTGAATTGAGGAGACAGAGATGAGAGTCTGATGCTCAAAAGCAGTTAGAAATCTGAGGCAAAATGCTAAAGAGATGAGAGCTACACAGAAAGTGCACAGAGATTTACAGAATGGTCCTCCTGAGATTTTGGCTAGGTACTGATCTGTGCATCCATGTGAGGAAAGAACCACTAAATGATAAAGCAGAACAATTCCCAAAGCCCATACAAGACTGAGAACATGTTACTGCTAGTCATACTGTTGAGATTTCCTTATTCATGGAAAAGCAGATATAGGTATCACTTCAGTAATGTGGACAAATTAGTCATAAAGGCTTTTCTGGACTCACCCTTAAAAGACTTAAAAACAATAATTTTAAGTAATATAGCTGCCTTCCAGAAAAATATCCAACACTATTGAAAGAATTCAACAAAATACCACCATAAATGTAAAGTCTACAATTTTCATTATATAAATGGGAGCAGGCATATAAAGAATCAGAAAAAACAAAACCAATAACCAGAGGAAAAAGATAAAAGAAATATGCCAAGAAATGAAACATGAGGAAATTAGCAGTCAAGGATGTTAAAAATGACTTAAAAATGTATCCCAGGTATTTAAGATTAAGGAAAACATGAATGTGATAAAGTGAGAAATGGAAGGTATAATAAAAATGCAAATAAAATTTCTAGAGACAAAAAAATATCTGAAATGAAAAATCACCTGAATATTAGACATTCAAGAAGAGAAATATAGTGAACTTGAATAAATAACAATAGAAAATTTCCAAAATCAAACCAGAGAGAAAAAACAAAACAAAACAAAACAAAACAATAAAGATCACTACCCCCGGTCAAAATTGAACAATCTAGAATAAATGTAATTGGAATTTCTAAAGGAAGGTCAGCAGGAATCATAATTGAAGAAATGAGAGCCAAAATAGCCAAATGATAGCCAAATTTGATGATAATAATAAACCTAGATATCCAAGAAATTAAAAGGATCCTAAGCAAAATACACCAAAGAAAAAATACAGTCATAATCACATTCCTGAAAATTAATGATAGAAATTGTTAAAAGCAGCCAGAGAAGAAAGATGTATTTCCTACATAGAACAAAGATAAGAATGATGAAATCTACTTATATCAGAAACTACACAAACCAAAAGACATTGGAATAACATCTTTAAAGTAACAAATGAAAATAATCTGTCCAAGTAAAATTCTACTACCCAGAATATATATCTTTCAAATAGTGTAATACAGATTTTTACATATGAATAAAATGTGAGGGAATTCATCACTAGGAGATGTATACTACAAGAAATAAGTCCTTCAATGTGGTATGCATACATAATGGAATATTATTCAGTTATAAGAGGAAAACAAATCCTACCATTTACAACAACATGGATGGAGCTAGACGGTATTATGCTCAGTGAAATAAGCCAGATGGAGAAAGACAAGTATCAAATGATTTCACTCATCTGTGGAGTATAAGAACAAAGAAAAACTGAAGGAACAAAGTAGCAGCCAACTCACAGAACCCAAGAATGGACTAACAGTTACCAAAGGGAAAGGGACTGAGGAGGATTGGTGGGAAGGGAGGGATAAGGGTGGGGAAAAAGAAAGGCGGCCTTATGATTAGCATGTGGGGGGAGGGGCAAAGGGAGGGCTGTACAACACAGAGAAGACAAGTAGTGATTCTACAGCATCTTACTACGCTGATGGACAGTGACTGAAGGGGTTTGTGGAGGGACTTGGTGAAGAGGGGAGCCTAGTAAACATGTTCTTCATGTAATTGTAGATTAATGATAACAAAATGAATTAAAAAAATAGTTCATTTCTGCCTTATAAACATATATTTACCATATGACCCAGTTATTCCACTCTTATTTACCTGAGAAAATGCAAACTAATGTTACACAAAGAATTGTATCTGAATGTTAATAGCAGATTTACAGTCCAGAACTGGTAACAGCCCAAACTTCCATCAAATGGTGAACGGATAAACAGTTTTGAGTATTTACCTAATGGAATATTGTGAAAGAATGTAAAGGAACAAGCCAGAGAGATACATAACATGCATAAATCACAAAAGCATTATTCTAAGTAAAAGAAAACACACAATTTATGCTTCTATTCATATGAAATTGTAGAAATGCAAAATTACAGTGATAGTAAGCAAATCAGTGGTTCTGAGGGACCAAGGAATGAAGGGTGATAACTGAATATACAAAGGAACTTTGTGAGGTAATGGATGCTTTTAATGTCATTAGATTGTTTGCATATACAAATATGTCATGTTCATTTGTCAAAACTCATATTGCATACTTAAAATTGGTGAATTTTATTTAATATACATTATACCGCAATAAAGTATTTTTAATATTAATAGATATTTAGTTTAAAATACTACCAAAAAGAACCAGGAATCTAAAGCCTGCAATGGCAATAAGTACATACCTATTGTATGTATTTCTGTTGTATGTGGGGTTTGCTGCAGGCATACTGGTGGGTAGAGTTAGAACTTGGCCCTGCTGACTGAGATGCCCATTTGTAACTGCTACAGGTGCACTGATATGCATACTGGATGTCAGTGTGGTTGGTGGAAGGGCCCATTTGTGGCTTCTCTGGGTATTCTGGTACACAGGTCTAGCCCCAGTTTGGCTGGCTTCAAAGCTGGCTGTGACTATTTCAGGTACACTTGTGAGCAGGGCTGCCCCCTTCTTCCATGGCAGGAGCCCCTTTTTTGGGGAGGTTTCCCATTCAGGTTGAGGCTACCTGCCAGGTGGGGTGGTATGGGAGCCAGTTTTGTGGGATGCCATTCCTAGTTGAGACTACCTACTGGGTGTGGTGTTGCAGGAAGCAACTTGGAATGGTGCCTGCCATATGGAAAGGTTGAGCAGGATGGGTCCACAGGGAAATGCTGGGGTTGGGTGAGTGGTGTTAGCAAGGTACATGGAGATGATCAGTAATGGTACTAATCAGTGAGGGGCCTGAAAGGCAGAAAGAGTATGAAAAATGGTGTTCACCAAGTACTTCTTTTTTCAGAGAAAGTTCTTACAGATCCCTGTCCCTCTGGTACACACCCTAAAGTTCATCAATAAACCTCCTTCACATATGGTCTGGGCACTTTCAAGCTGCTGCCTCTGTACTGGGTCTTGGAGCAAGTGAGTTTGTACGTGGGTCCTTTAAGAGAGGAATCTTGGTTTCCTACAGCTCTCCTGCTCTCCTGGAGGTAAGCCCCACTGATTTTTCAAAGCCATATGTTAGGGGTTCATCTTTCCAGTATGCCTGTTGTGGGTCTTTAACCTCTTACTCCTCAGGGTATATTTCTACC